GTTTATTGTTAAAAATTAAAATTTTTTAAATGATTAAAAAATTACATTTTTCTTTTATAAATATTTTAAATATTTAAAATAATTTATGCAAATTTTCATTGCGATTCACTGATTAGTTACAGAGATACAGAACAAATAAATATTTTGTTTATTTATTGGACAAATTACAATTAATTCATGCATCGCAATGTAACTCTACGTAAATAATCTTGAATACATAATGTACTTATATATTAAAAAATTGAGATTTTTCTCATTTTCTCTATAGCATAATATATTGCAGCAATATTATAACAACATTACAAGAATTCAAACACGCCTCAAAAAAGGTAAGAATCTCCAGGAGATTCGCTAATTCGATTTGCGTATTCCTTCTTATAGAATCTTTCTGAATGAGAGAAGCGTATCCCTCTAGTGTTGGGACCGCATATTTATATTTACTGAATTGTAATATTGCAACAATAAATTGTAATATTGCAATATTTTCTACAAAATATTAAAATTACAATATTTTGCAATAGTGTTGCAATATTTCCAATAAAATATTATAATTTCAATATTGCTGTAATATTACGCACTATTGAAATATTGCTGCAATATTTCGTAATATAGGGGTTATTTTATAATACATTTTCATATATTTTTATCAGAGCACAGATTAAAAAATACTACTATTTATTAAAATAACTTTTGATCCAGATAGTAAACCGTCATCAAATTTGTCATATTATTTTTAAATGTGATTTAAAATAATTTTTAATTTTTTCATAATTTTGTTATCATTTTGAAGATATGTATAAAACATCTTTAAATTAAATTAATGAATATGTTTAAGTAAATCAGACTCACTTCATATTGGCAGTACCCGGATACGACAAGTCATTACTGGCGAGTCTCGTCAACGGTCGGTGTTGTATGCTAGAGCGTGATGAGTTGATAACTGATTGCTGCAACGACTGTCCGGTTTGCTGCTGTTGATGATATCGTCTGAGTTGATAAAGTCGCGGATCACACGCTGGATTCAGAGTTAATTGCCGTTGTAGTTTCCGATGCAGTTTCACCGGTTCTGGTTCAGGATTACTCACTCTTGATGTGGACCAGTTCGCTGAGGAAAGATAACCTTTAACAAAACAGATTATTAAATTATTTGATTATTTAATGATTCAAAGAAAAAAAGTTACGTATGTACTAAAAGAAAATAATATATTTATATTCCCTGGTGAAAATAGATCATTGAAATAAATAAAATCTACTAACTATGAAATTGTTGAAATGAGAAATGACTAAAATATTGTAGAAAATATTTCAGCATAAATAATACTTTTAATATTGAAGTGGGATTTTAAAGTTAGATGAATGAAACTTAATAAAGGTTAATAAAAAATAATGGAAACTAAATATATTTAATATTCATATTGATTTATTCAGAAAAATTGAATTACTGAAATTATACAAAAATAAATAAAAAGTAATGAGAAAAATAATGAAAACTAATGCAAATGTATTTAATATTTATACAGATTTATTTTGAGAAATTGAACAGATTTTATACTGTGAAATATCATAAAAATTCTGAAGATAATTTTTGAAAATGCATGAAAAAAAAAATAATGCAAAACATATGATACTTTTATAGTTTATTGTACATTGAAATGTGCTAAATCGATTTTAATCAGATTAATGTATTGGAAATTTCTAATATTTTCCGATTCATTTATCGAATCGGAATGAATCGATGCAAACACAATGGAACTGTATTGGCATATACCCATATAAAATCACGAAAGCGTCGAACAAGAATCAATAAGATATTTCACATTTCCTTCGAATAGGATTTAATTAGAGAGCCTCAAAGGGAGAGAGTGGCAAATTGCATCACGTGAATGCCCGCATCCAATCAAGACGGAGGTCACGTGATCAGTTTTTTCAATCTCTTCCATGCTTATGAAATTTTGATGCCCGCATTCAATCACAGGAGACGAGTCACGTGATGCAATTTGTCACTCTCTCTCTTTGAGGCTCTCTAGATTTAATAAGATATTTCACATTTCCTTCGAATAGGATTTAATAGTTTTTTATAGAGGAATTGCTTCCCAATAGATCTTAATTGGACAAGCTGCCGATGCCAAATCCAATGGGAATTAATCAATAAATTTCTGATTAAAACGATTGGTAAAATTGGAATCGGTTTTAATCGGATTAAAATGCATCGAAAATTTTCAACATTTTTCTATTCTTTGTTTTAAATTGGAATGAATCGGAGCAGACTCAATTGTATTAGCATATATTTATGTATACAAGAAAGTGTTGAAAATAAGTGAGATATTTCCTTCAAATAAGATTTAATAGGCTTTTTTATAGGATTGGTTTCGAATAGGTTTTATCAGACATTGCACCAACGTTACTTTGATTTTAAATGAGGCTTAAAACTCTCTCTGTCTCTGTCTTTTATTCTCTTTAAAACGAAAAAGTTTAAACAGAAAAAGTTTTAAGTCTTGCTTAAAGTAACATTGGTGCAACTAGATCTAATTATAAGTTGAAGGAAAGATCAAAGTTCAGTTACAAATAATAAAGAAATAGAAGTAAAATATAAGAATTGTATATTTTAAAATTTTATATATATATAAACATCTTTTTACTTCGTTAAATTGTAATCGCGCGAAAATATATTGAAATTTATTCATTTCGAAAATAACCGATATGAACCTGGCGCTCTACTTTATCAAAAATAAAAATTAATACTGCAGGCTGTTTGTACTTCGTTTGTACTTGTTTGTACCGATCATTATTTCGTTTGTACCTCAAACAGTTAAACAAAAAGTGAAAAATAAAAAATGGTCAGCGCGCAACTTTAAGATTTTTTAATTTCATTTATGCCATTCGAAACAGAATCGTTTGTACCCGTTTGTACTTCTCTTACTTTCGTTTGTACCTCAAAGAGTTCGAAGATACAGCACGTTTCAATTTTTGCGCAACTTCTATATAGCAAATTTAGCCAATTTTAAAGATATCGAAATGAGACCAACGGCATTCGAAAGAGAATCGTTTGTACCTGTTTGTACCTCTCTTACTTTCGTTTGTACCTCAAAGGGTTCGGAGATACAGCGATTTCAAAATTTCATAAATGCGTCAAGAGGGTAAGTCGGTCATTTTTAAAGATATCGAAATGAGACCAATGGCATTCGAAAGAGAATCATTTGTATTCGTTTGTTACCTCTCTTACTTTCGTTTGTACCTCAAAGGGTTCGGAGATACAGCGCGTTTCAGTTTTTGCGCAATCTCTATATAGCAAATTGAGCCAATTTTAAAGATATCGAAATGGGACCAACGGTATTCGAAAGAAAATCGTTTGTATCCGTTTGTACCTCTCTTACTTTCGTTTGTACCTCAAAATTTTTTATTTTTCACTTTTTGTTTAACTATTTGAGGTACAAACAAAATAATGATCGGTACAAACAAGTACAAACGAAATATAAACGGCCTGCAATATTTTTATTTTTGATAAAGCTGAGCGCCAGGTTTACATCGGTTCAAAAATATCAATTTTTCACTTATAGTGTATTCGATTTATTTACTCGACACCGAATCAACGGTTTGTTCTTTTTAGCAGCATTTCTTGCACAATTTAGTCCTTCTTTTGCAAATAAAAATAGATCATTGATTCGAAATCGAGTTGGGTCAGTAAATCAAATATGCTATTATTCTGATTCGCCGATTGGATATGCAAATTAGCTATGTATATTCACCATTTGATTCTTATTGGAATAAAAATCTATGAAATTTCTAATAAAAACATGTTGGCAATTCAATCGTATGACTCGATTGGATCTAATTAAGATCATTAATGTGGATTTCCCACTCACAATCAGTCCGATTCGCCAATTGGAGGCGTTTGCTGATTACTTCCTATTGTCCAATAAAATCAAATTAATTTTTTAATTTTTAAATCGGTACGTACGTTCTTACTGAAGATGCATTAAGTGGAAATCCTACTAAAATCTTATTGTTTCTGAATCATTCTCAATAGGCTGTTTTGATTCTGATAAATACTATTCATTCCTATTAAATTTCTATCGGTTTTTAATAGGTTTAAATAGTTTTCAATTAGAAATTTTAAGCAGGGAAAGAACATTAATGAAAATATCTGAAAGATAATATCATTAAAATGAAATATATATTATTCCGATAAATATGCAGTGTAAGGGATCATCCTCCAATGACCTTGCCCTTGACATATATGTTGTCAAGATCATGACCTTGACTTCTTACAGGTTTTAACAGCCGGTTGCTGTTCGTTAAAAAGTTATTAACAAAAAAAGTTTGAAAAATGATATCTCTTTTTTACTATATGAAAAAAATTTTCTGCTTTAAAATATATTTTGACTTTCCATACGAAGCGAAGACCACCCAATACTATAATATGTGCGTCTCTCAGCACGGAGGAGGTAGAGTGAAACTCGCTTCACGTGGAAAGCCGTGCGTCTCTTGACGGGGAGGGGGAAGAGAGGTAGAGTGAAATCACAGACTTATATAAATAGACTATCAACTTCACCTCCATGTTTAAAGACAATGTTGGGCAGCGTTATATTTTCTCTCACTCACACGTGCATAAATTACATAAATAATTTCACACAATACTCACAGACAGGACGCATATTTATGTAGAAACTAAAAGACAACTTCAGATTCATCTATCACATTGAAATCTATTACATATTAAAGCAGTCTATTTATAAATCTACATATAAATCTACATATAAATCTGTGGGTGAACTCGCTTCACGTGAAAAGTTGTGCGTCCCTTGGCAGAATTTTTGTATGACAGAATTTTTTTGTTAATAACTTTTTAACGAAGGACGAGTACCGGCTAAAACTTTTTAAAGGTCACTCAGAATTGTGATTTTGATAACATATGTCAAGGTCAAGATCATTGAAGGATAATCCTTTATACCATATATTTATCGCAAAAAATATTAAAGTTCTTAACTTCTGCTGATAAATAAGAAAATTGATTTATATTGTAACAAAAAGCATTGAATTCATTTTTCTAGGAGTACCGTCATATGGTATCGCTTCTCGCATTTCTTTTCTTTGAAATATTAAGAGTACCTGGTCAAATACCAGTCTCTTTTCTATTCCTAAAAAAAGTTTGATATCTAAAGAATAAATTTTGCGTTATTGGCCTCAATTCGTGCGTATCCTTTAACTAGAATAATTTTGAAGTTCACCTTTGGATGATAAATGATCTATCATGTGTCTAGAGTATACATTTTTGTAACAAAAAAAATTTCTTTTTTCTTTATTTTTAACTAACCCCTACAGCATAAAAGTTGCAGCAACAATGCTGCAATATTACAGCAATATTGCATGTTGCAGCAATATTGTAGAGTTATTGCAACGATATTGCACATTTTATGCTGTATGGGAATTCTCGTTTGTATTATAAGAATATTTCGCAAATTATTAAAAAAAGAATTTAACCCTAAAATATTAGCTTTAACATATTAGCTTTAATAAACGACGATTTTTGGCATTCATGTGTTAAATGTTACCTGTAATGTTATAAAGAACATTTGACCAATAAATTATAAGTTTTTTTTAATACAATAGCAATAATAAATTGTTTAAAATGATTGTTAAAAAAATTGAAAATTGTTAAAAATAAAATATATCTTCAATTTATAGTCATTCATGCATGTTAAAAAAGTATTTTCAGGTTACTAAATAACTACATTTTTTGGACAGATATTTAATATCTATTTTTCTTTTGGAATATCAAACTTAAGATATTGAAACATATTTTTCCTTTAAATATTTCAGAGTTTTATATTTTTACAATTGTGAAAAAATACGTTTTTCTCATTTTTAACTATATTCAGTTATAACAATTTATATACAGTTTGTTATAAACATACAACTTTACAACATACTACTTTCTAACATACTACTTTTTAAAAATGTCAGAATATACGTAAAAATCGTTTAATAATTTTTGTATGTGCACTTGTGAAAATGATAAAAATTAAGCCAGAATAATTCAACGTATATGTAATGATGGCCCAAAAATAAGTGTACTAAGGATTAATAACATATTGACGAACTATCATAATAACAGTTTAATGAAATAATACTGAAAATAGATCTATTAATACAGTTTCAATAATATCATCACTGTTCATTACAATTTCAGTAATGTTTGATCATTATTTATAATTCAGGAAAAAATTATCATCAGGATTTTATTAAATAATTCATACACAATGTGTCCAGAATTTATATTTACTTTGTAATTATCACCTTGAGAATTTTGTGTAGGAGGCATCTGCTGGCTGTACATAACGGGACTAGTTGTAGACAAATCAGATGTGACATTTTCCACTGATCTACTCTTCGGAACAGACAAGAATTGAACGACATTCGATGGCATGGCTGATTTAGTTTTGCTGAGGGGCGGATGTTGTGGAGATACGGATGCATTTGTGGGTGACAACGGCAGGCTCAGGCTGGGCCCACGGGCCTGTAAATGACGCTGAGCATGCTCCACTAATCGTTCTGTCACAGATTTATGTGGATGTGATCCTCTTTCGGGATGTCGGAACTTGCACTTATTGCCATATGTACATTTCTGATAATTTAAGAAATAGCTATTTAATTTAATTTAATTTAATTTAATTTAATTTAATTTGCTAAGAGTATATACTTCATTTGATGTAATTTTATTTAATTTGACAAAAAATTTTTGCCAAATATTTCAATCTAGAATCTGAATTTTAGTATTATGAACTTTAGAATTATATACTGGCTTTAATCTTTTAACTTTAACAAATCTTCTTCTTTCTTTTAATTCTTTTAATTCTTGAAGTTTAATAAAAAAATTTTAAAGCGTAATATTATATTATAAATAAATAAAAAGAAGAAAAAAAAGAGGAATATTACCTTGGCATAAGGGCATGGAGGAGCGGGATCGATTTTTTTAGGAATGATTCTAAGAAAATTTTCCAATGTAGGTCCGCTCCTGCCAAGTGGATCGTCTGGTGGCATGAATCGATCGTTTACAAAGCTGTACATTAAAATTTTCTCCTCTACGACCCTTCTAAATTCGGGATTCTCTTGGGCCAAATCTCGATAGTTGTCGTTGCTGACGACAATGCCATCGATCTCCGCGGCCAGTTTCAGGATGTATCGATCGTCATAACACACCATACGCTTTCCACCTACCAACCTGCAAACGTTTAATATTCTCATTAAAAAAATAAGGAATAATTTGCGTCATGTATCAATGTATCTTGAATTACACATAATAATATTACACATAATAACTATATAAACAATTAATTGTCAAAATGCGATATAAAATCGTATTATTGGATTGTCCGGAAAGTTCGTGCCGACTAACCTATATAATTTAATAAATGTATATTTAATAAAATTAATAAAATGTATATTTACTAAAATTTAAATTTTCTGCGTTTCAATTTTCCTTCAACATCGGCATCAATCGATCAACTCGATTAATCTTATAAAATAATTCAAGTTAATGTACTCTATTTATACATACATTCAAATGGATCCGAAAAATATTATAATAATGAACTTTATTTATCTGGAAATCTCGAAATGACATCTTCACGACATCGAACGTCTCAATTTTGTTTCTAGAAATACTGAGAAGAGTGAAAAAAAAAGGAAGAGAAAAATTTTTTAGGGAAATCCTTGATTCGATTATTCAAGCTACAGATAATATTAATCGGTTGAAAATATCGGTTAAAATAAATTCAAGTATTGAAATGAGGGGCATCTTCGCTCTATCTTTAATGATCTCAATTTTATGATTCCCGTTTTTCACTTATTGAAACTCGCAGTTCGTTCACAGTTTGAACATATTCTTATTTGTTGGTTGATGATGCAAATTGTACTTACAATTAGACAAATATATAATTTAGCTTTTTATATAAAAATTATGGGTTTCGCGGGTTTCTTTTGTGTCCAGATCCATTCTTGGAAACATGAAACATTTCATGAATCTTGCAGACCACTTCATCAGAGCGAGGAGCAGCCTGATACTGAATTGTTCCTTCGGGTCATTCCTTTTTATATTACGCCAGTTGTTGAAGTGTTGAAGGGAAAGAAGAGAATTGTGGGTGGGTAGGACAGGTGGAGGAAATCGATTAGTCTTCAATAACCAGAAGAATGGTTTTCCATATTTTATTTATGTAGTCATTATCTTTATTTAGATTGTTAGGATGGTTTTGTATTTCTATGGCTACTCTATATACTTTCTTGGAAAATATGATGTAATGTTGGCTATTATGGTCGTTTTGTCAAACAGTATTTGATGTTCTGTTTTGATGTTGTGTTCTATCACGAATGTGTCATCTACATAACGGAATTAAACTTCTGGTTTTTTGAGTGTTTTTCTGAGGGTCTCTTTCTCAAAATGCTCCATGAAGATTGGCGATTACAAGAGAAATAGGAAAATAAGACTATACGGACTACCAAAAGTACGCAAACCAAACATCCCTCAGACTAATTGTCAACGCCATATACTTCCTGATATGGAGACACGGCAGAGCCGAACTCCGTAAATTCCTTATTTTCTTCAACAATCAACATCCAAATATTCACTTCACTATAGACGTAGAAGAAAATTCCCCTTCCTAGATGTTCTTGTCTCTAAAAAAGCTGACGATAGGCCATCAAGTGTAATCAGAAAATCAACACACACACACACACACACACACACACACACACAGATGTCTACATGCATCACCACAAAAAACAGTTTGCAATCAATTCACTTGTACATAGAGCTTTCACCATCTCTAACAAAGAACATCTACAGACAGAACTTAATCACTTAAAATTAGCCTTACAGAAAAACGGCACGACAAAAAAGAAATAATTAAAACAATCAATAAACATGCAAACAAGACAACGGTCTCTGACACACAATCAGAACGAAAGGATACTATCTATTCTCCTAAATATCAAAGGAACAACAAATCGGGTTAGCAGGATATTAAACAAATATCCGAACTAGCTTTAAACCATCCAAAAAGATAGGATAAATCTTAAGAAATCCTCCTGAAAAATCAAAGACCTCCTGAAAAATCAAAGACCTCCACTCAACTCCGCAGGGGTATACAAAATATCTTGTTCCTGTGGGCAAGTATACATTGGAGAAACTGGGAGAATGGTCAATCTACGGATAAAAGAACACCAACGTAATGTCAGACTAAAACACGTCGCGCAATCAGCATTATCAAAACGCAATATCAAAATAGGACATCAAATATCTGTTTGACAAAACGATCACAATAGCCAACATAACATCATACTTTCCAAGAAAGTATAGAGAAGCCATATACAAAAACACCTTAACAATCTAAATAGAAATAATGGCTACAACATAAATAAAATATGGAAAACTATTCTCCCGATTATTAAAAACTGATCGATTTCTCCCAACATTCCCTCCCCCGCCCTTCCACCCATAATTCTCTTCTTTCTCCCCACCACTCGAACAAGTAGCATAATATAAAAAGGAATGACCTAAAGGAACAATTCAGTATCAGACTACTCCACGCCCTGATAAAGTGGATTGCAAGGTTCACATTAGCATTCCAAAAATGAATCTGGACACGAAGGAAACCCGCGAAACGCATAATCTTTATATAGAAATCCGTGGAAGCCTCAAGAATATTTAGATTATCATGTTAATTAGGCCCGATTGCACCAATGTTACTTTGAGTGAGACTTAAAACTCTGTCTCTGTCTCTTTTTCTTTAAAATGAGACAGAGAAAGTTTTAAGTTTGGCTTAAAGTAACATTGATACAACCAGGCCTTAATTAATCACGTACTCGAACTAAATATGTAATTGTTTTACTCAGAGATCCATTATATTCTAAAAATGTAATTTTAGAAAGTAAGAAAAATATTTTTGTATAAGATCAGACGCATTATTTAAGTTTGTGTAATCTCAGACAAATTGCGTACGTCGCACTAACCTAGAAGGCGTAAATACAAGCAGACGATCTTTCTCGAGCTCGCTCAGGATCTCTTGATCAGTGACTGGATTGTCAGGTCTCGAGGCTTCTTTCCGCCACTTAGGTACAAAGACAGTGATCTCCTTATGACCTCTGGTGCGGAACCAATCAACACAAATCTTGATACCGCGACAAGAGAATACTTCCTTATTACCATGACTCATAGCGACGTTACTACCGTCGATGACAACAGGCCTTAGTTCCATTGATGAGATCGCGTTCACCGTCGTAGCATTTGTCGCTGTCATTGAAGTTAAAATCGACCCTCCGCCTTCATCGATGTCTGCCTCGGCATCCGGTAGATCATCTATTTCCTCGGAACCATCAGTAAACTTTGGAGAGCAAGTGGCTCCGAGTTTGATCAACTCGGCTAATAGCTCATTCTGACCCGGATCCGGACCCAATTTCTGCAGCGCCACTTGCACCAATTTTTCGGTGTAGCCCAACTTAAGTGCGAACTCCACGCGAGCGGTATAACCTGAATGAATGACAATAATAAACGATTTATTAAGACTGTATGTGTGAATACACAAAGAGTTTAATGCCTATTACGATCGAAAGTTAGGTGCTTTTAAATAATTTTTATATGAAATTATATACTAAATATGTAGTTATTCGAACTATGCATCGAAATGATTTTTCGAACTTCTAAATGCAATCAAACTACTATAGTATCACAAATTACATTGATAACCTTGGTAGTTTAAAGCTTAAGACGCTTATACAAGAGATCTGGGTTCGACTCCCGGCCGAGGTAATATTTTTCGCAATAAATTTATTTACAATTTTTCAGTTTATATCTTTCTAATAGGATGAGCATCAAATTATTAAATTGCTTATCAATTTAATTTATGATATTACTATAGTATTATAGTTTAATTGCGTTTAGAAATTCGAAAAATCATTTCGGCGCACAGTTCAAATAATTACATATTTTGTATATAATTTCACATAGAAAGTATTTAAAAGCATCCAAAATTCAATTTCGATGTAAAGACTCTTATTTGTTATATCTAAACGAATGAATTTTGTTAATATTAATACGAAACTAAAACCATTTTTTTACTTGTCATTGATCTTTTTGTAGGGGCATATAAGTAAGGAAATTATAACACTGTGGGTCTGATTTTAACTTTTAAAATTTTCCAAAAATCACAAATTTGATTGTGTCGGAGACACGGCCCTCTATTATAATGGGCATCTCTTATTCAAATTGATCATTTTGAAGAAGGGCATAGTAGGATAAATATGTATATGCTGCCAGCTGCCTCTGTATTTATCTGGTCGAGATTTTTATAGTCAGCAGCGATACAAGAATGAATTTCGCAAAATATTATATTTGAAAAAAATTTTTTATGGGAGTTATGGAATAAAATTGTGTGTGTGAAAATCAACGAAACGAATTTTCTTTTTAATAGATGAATCAATTTCGACGAAAAAAATATGTTATAGGATTCAATGGTTTAAAAAAAATTATGAAAATTTTTTTTCGAAAAAAACCGGTTGAAAAAAATTTTCAAAGTTTTAATATATTTTTTTAATAAGATATACTGGAAATATCACTATCATTTTTTACTAAAATGATCTTTGACTTATCTAGTATAACATATATATTTAATTTTCAAAACGATCGGAAAAGTACATAGCTTAAAAAATGAAGAATTTGAGTGTGCGGCGTATGATTAGCTGGGTGTTGCATGAGATTCGGCTACGCATACTACACTAGGTATTAAACTCAGCTACATATGTGAGAATAACTCACGAAACAACTGCAAACAGTCTCCCACGTTTTTAATTTTTAGTTTTCCAAAAATGTCATGAACAACAATTAGTTGTTGATGCTCATTACCAGAATGATTCATCTTAAGTTTTAATTATCTTCTTTTGACAGGTATTTTATGTAAAAACTTATGTCACCCAGTGCATTTACGATTCGTCAATGACATAAACATTTTCTATTGCACCAAGTCAAATAAAAAAAGTGTTACTTATATAAAAGCTCGTTGTAAGTGGATCTACTGAAATAATTCATCAAGCGATCAAATTAAATAATGCTAACCGCATTAATTAATCAAAGCTGATGGCGCTCCATGACGATTCATGTGACATGAGCGCGAAAGACTAAAATACGTCTACTATGAACATGGAAATATCTCATGTAAACAGTAGGATAGAGGATTCGCTGCCAAAAAAATTAAAGACATGAGAGACCGTTTGCAGTTTTTTCGCTTATGCTCACATAAGCATATGTAGCTAAGTTTAATATCTAGTATAGTATTCGTAGCCGAATTTCTTCATTTTTTATGTACTACCTTTCTGATTCGTTTTGAAAATTAAATATATATGTTACTAGGTAAGTCGAAAATCATTTTAATAAAAAATGGTAGTAGTGTCTCAAGTACACTTATTAAGGTGATTCTAATCCGACTATATTAGTCAAGCATCATTACTAACATCTTTAATAAAAGATTGATTATATTAGAAAGTGTAGCACAAAATTTAAAACTTGATTTTTTTTAAACTCTATTACACTCTTTTTAATAATTAAATTCAATAAAATTAAAATAATAATAAATACAAAAACACTAATTTCATCAGCGTAGAGAAGCCGAGTTTTAGATGTAACAACGTTGCATATTTACTCTCGATCTGTGGTCCTGCGACTTGTTAGATTAGAAGGTAAATATTTGTTATAATATCCAGCAGTAAGCATGAACAAGCAGCTGCGATATAAAGGACGCTTTATTAAGAAAAAAAAATTAGATTGTAAGTTGAAATTTTTTATATTTTAATCATATTACAATTAGAAAATTTTCTAATTGTAATATGATTAAAATATAAACAAATTTTTGCTACGAATATCTTACGTTGTGGTTTATGCCGTTAAGAGATTTATTCGTTTTAATATTTGACCACGTATTGACTTTTATTGTTGTTATAACGCTGGCATAAACACGCGTTCTGTTCTACCGTTCTTTAAATTTGTTAAAATATATTTTGATATTACAATGTGTTTACTATTAAAACAATGTATTAAACTGATGAAACAAAATATTAAACCTAAGACTTAAGATATATTTTTTAAAATTATGTAAAAGAGAAGAATTAATTCCATAATATTTACAAGGATTTATACGTTATCAATCCAACTTGTTTATGAACACGTCGCATTATAAAATGCGTAGATTCAAACATAATTTCATGGTTAAAATAATTCAATTAGAGTTAAAAGACGCATATAGACAACTATTTCATACCAGAAATGAGCTTTGCAAGCATCGTAGATTAAGGCTAATTTCATGTTCTCCAGGTTATTTGTCTCTTTCCTTTTTCAATCGACAAGAATTTATTTTTAATTTAATTAAAGATTTAATTAAAGATTTAATTAAAGATTTAATTAAAGATTATAGATAAAAGAATTAAACAGAATAAAAAAAATTAAACAACTTAAGAAAAAGTGCAGCTCGACAAAAAAGGAAAGAGATAAATCTGATTGAATTCAATTTACTATGGTCAAAATCCACTAATACGAGCTTTAATTTCATTTCATCAAAAATTGAAAAAATTTCTACTCTTGAATTAAACACAGTAAAGTCAGAAACAGCCTTTCACATTAGTATTGATCCAATTAAATTTAATAATAATTTTAATTTGAACAACATTAAAAATGATTGGCTAATTAATTTGAGTAATGTAGAAATATCAGAAATAGTTAAAATAATATTGCAACTAGGACAAAAATTCAATCTACCTAACAATACTATAAAGATAAAATAATTACAGAGTTCATAAAACACGTTGAATATAACATCAATAAATTAATTAACGATAATACTCGTAATTCTATAAGAAATGATGTAATTCTATTCAAATTTTAAAGAGAATTAATAATAATAATTTAGCAATAAATGCCAATGAGCACATTATTAAATAAAGGAATGAAAGATGTTAAACAATTTATAACGGAACATCCAGAGATTTTGATCAAGGAGTAAAGAGAATTCGACCATAGTGATGAATTCTATTGATTATAATAATAAAATGCATGCAATGCTAACCGATAGTATGACATACTATAAATATCAAGAAAGATCTTACAACTATGTTGACAAATCATACATCATAAACCAACCATCGTAAACCAACAAATTCATATATTGTTAGAACGATGAAAGAACATGAAATATATAGATTTATCACTTATAAAAAACTTAATGTCACTGATGGATTGGTGCCGAGATCATATGTGTTGCCAAAGATTCATAAAGTTGGAAATCCATTGAGAATGATCGTCAGTTGTATTAACAATCCGATGTATTCTTTAGCTTCTTTTTTAAAAGATATCGACAAAAGCCTTAAAAAGCCTTAAAAAAGATTTTAGTTACATTAAAAACAGCTGGGAATTAGTTAATCAATTAAACGATAAAGCACTACAGTCTAATTACAAACTAGTATCTTTCGACATCATATCAATGTATACTAACATTCCAGAAGAATTAGTGAGAAGTATTAAAGGAAGAGTTATATATCGAAACACATTAGCATCGTTAAAAAAATTTTTAAACGCCGTCTCTTTGGTTTTCAACTCTACCTATTTCAAATTTGACAATCGATATTTTAAACAGATTTTTGGTATGCTCATGGAATCTCCTCTGTCCAATCTTAGCGGATTCAAAATTTAGAAAATCACATTCTAACGAACGTCAACATAGATATTCCAGTCTATTATCGATATATGGATGACATTTTATTTGCTGTTCCTAATCACTAAACCCATGTAATATTAGGCAAGTTTAATTCGTATCATGACAGACTAAGATTCACAGTTGAGCATAATTATGAAGATTATATGGATTTTCTTGATGTAAGTTTGAAGATTGTCGAGATTTCATAAGATTTAACAATTATAGGAAACCAACGAATTCGAGACGCTATTTAAATTATATATAAATTATATATAAAATTATATATAAATCTAACCACCCAATAGAAAAGGAGTAATAATCGGGCAGCTCGACAGAATCCTTTTCCTTGCGCATCCTGATTATCATAAGATGGATATGATAAATATGGAGTTTATGATCGATGTTTTGCTGTCCAATGGTTATTCTTTAGATTTTATCTTCGCCACAATTAATAACAGAAAACATTATCTAGGAAAAAAGACTTATATACTAATATACAAGAACATCAATGATCCGAATAATAATAATCCAAAAAATAATTTTACGATACCTTACATACACGAAATTTCAGAAAATTTTAAACCGGTGGCCGAAAAGAATAATTTCAAAGTAGCTTATAAATTCATGAACACATTAAAATCGGTTATTAGGTAAGGATAAGTTGGACATGATGGAACATTGTAGTGTATAAAATAAGTTGCCTCGATTGTGATGTCTCATATGTTGGTCAAATTAAAAGGAAAGAAAACAAGGATAAAAGAGCATAAAGCAAATATCAAGAGATCAAAAAGCT